TGTCTCTTTGTTTTGTTTGTATAATATTAATATAATATAATATATATATATATATATTTATATATATATATATTTATTTATTTATATTTTAATTATTTTGTTGTTTGTTTTTGTTTAATAGACGCTGGCCCTTGTTAGAGACGGATTAATCGCAGAGCAACAGTCAGACCCAAAGCATATCCTTCTTAAGGAACCCGTCAAGGTCTAGCTGCTGCTGCTGCTGCTGCTGCTGCTGTTGCTGCTGCTGCTGCTGCTGTTGCTGCTGCAGTCGCTCTTGCTGCTGCTCTTGCTGCTGCTGGTTCTGCTGCTGGTTCTGCTGCTGCTTCCCCCTGCCGCTTTAGCTGCTGTCACTGCTGGTGCTGCTACAGCAGCTTCTGCTGCTGCTTCTGGAACTGCTGCTGCTGCTGCTGCTGCTGCTGCTGCTGTTTAGGGGGAGCTTCGCCCGCAGATATTAGAAGGGGGGTCGGAGAGAAACAGCTTCGATGCTCATTGGTGTATTGTGCGAGTTAATGAGTCTGCTCCGAAGACAGTAAGTTAATTGCTGTCTCCTTGCTTCTTCCTGCTGTCTCTTCTGCTGTCTTTGCTGCTGCTCCTGCTGCTTGTACTGCTGCTGCTGCTTGTACTGCTGCTGCTGCTGTCTCTGCCTCCTTGCTTCTTCCTGCTGTCTCTTCTGCTGTCTTTGCTGCTGCTGCTGCTGCTGCTTGTACTGCTGCTGCTGCTGTCTCTGTCTCCTTGCTTCTTCCTGCTGTCTCTTCTGCTGTCTTTGCTGCTGCTCCTGCTGCTTGTACTGCTGCTGCTGCTGTCTCTGTCTCCTTGCTGCTTCCTGCTGTCTCTTCTGCTGTCTTTGCTGCTGCTGCTGCTGTCTCTGTCTCCTTGCTCCTTCCTGCTGTCTCTTCCTCCGTCTGTTGCTCTCTTATTTTAATGCATTTATCTTTTATTTAGTGTCTCATTGTTTTATTTATTTATCTCTTTCTTTATATATTTGTTTATTGTATTTTATTTATTTATTTATTTATTTATTTATTTATTTATTTATTTATCTTCTGTCTCTCTCTTAGGTTCGATCTCTCTTTCGTCATAACCACTTCCCAAAGGAGAACCGCTTCATTGCACAGACACCTCAAGATATCAGGGTCTGCTGCTGCTGCTGCTGCTGCTGCTGCTGTTGCTGCTGCTGCTGCTGCTGCTGCTGCTTGTACTGCTGCTGCTGGTGCTGGGCTGCTGCTGCTTCTACTGCTACTGCTGTAAATGCTGCTGCAGCTGCATCTGCTGTTGCTGCTGCTGGTGCCGATAGTGGTGCTTCTGCTGCTGCTGTTGCTAGAGCTGCTGCTGCTGCTGCTGCTGCTGCTAGCGCTGCGAATGTACGTGGGGCGCCACATGCTGCTACTGCTGCTGTTTTTTTACTGCTATTTCTGCTGCAGGAGTATTTTAACCACCCGTCGATGGGGCGTGCTGCAGCAGGTAGCAGCAGCAGCAGCAGCAGCAGCAAGGACAACTGGGTTCGTTTCAGCGATTTTCATTTGCTGCTGTTTGTGGCGAAGCTGTTTGACGCCCCGACTGCATTTACTCTCTGCGATGCGGTAATTAATGAGACCCCAGTAGATGAAGGCATGGAGGAGGTTCTTAAGTCTCTTGCCTAGCTAGCTAGCTAGCTAGCTACCGAGCTGGCTAGCTAGCTACCGAGCTAGCTAGTTGAGCTGCAACATACTAGCTAGCTGCCTAGCTAGCTAGCATGTTGCAGCTCAACGCCACATGGCGGCGGCTCTCCACGAGGGCTCCAGCGAGCTAGCTACCCAGCTAGCTAGCTACCCAGCTAGCTAGCTACCCAGCTAGCTAGCTACCCAGCTAGCTAGCTATCCAGATAGCTAGCTAGCTACTTAGCTGGATATAGGTAGCTAGCTATTTAGGTGGCTAGCTAGCTAGCTACTTGAAATAGCTAGCTAGCTAGCTAGCCAGTGTATGCGAGATTCCTGGCGGTCTAAAGGACCCCGTTTAGGGCTGCTGCAGCCCTAAACGTTCTGCATCTTTAGGGGCCCCTAGGGGCCCCTAGGGGCCCCTAATGATTATCATTAGGGGCCCTTAGGGGCCTCTAAAGATTATCACTAAGGGCCTTGAGGGGCTCCTAAAGGGTTTAGGGGGCCCCTAAAGGGTTTAGGGGGCCTCTAAAGGGTTTAGGAGACTTCTAAAGGGTTTAGGGGGGCCTAAAGGGTTTAGGGGCCCTCCCCCTTGGGGGCCTTCTAAGGGTTTAGGGGCCCTCTAAAGGGTATATGCAGCCCTCTCTTTAGGGGCTCCTAAAGGGTTTGGGGGCCCCCCTATTAAGGGCCCCGAAAGGGTTTAGGGGGCCCCCTCTTTTGGGCCCTCAAAGGGCTTAGGGGGCCCCCTTTTAGGGGCCCCTAAAGGGTTTAGGGGGCCCCCTCTTAGGGGCCCTCAAAGGGCTTAGGGGGCCCCCTTTTAGGGGCCCCTAAAGGGCTTAGGGGGCCCCCTTTTAGGGGCCCTCAAAGGGCTTAGGGGGCCCCCTTTTAGGGGCCCCTAAAGGATTTGGAAGGCCCCTCGAGAGACCTCTTCATAGGGGCCCCTAAAGGGTTTGGGGGGCCCCTTTTTAGGGGCCTCCAAAGGGTTTAGGGGGCCCTAATACAAATATATGAAACAAATAGAGTAGATGACGGCAGCAGCAAAATAACAACGAGGAAGAGGAGACAGAAAGAAAGGAGACAGCAAAAGAACAGCAATAAACACATGCAGCAACTAAAGGGTGGAGGGGGGGCCCCCTCACAGGGGGCCCCCAAAGGGTCCTTTGGAAGGGGGCCCCCTTCGGGCCTCCTTATTGCAAAGGGGTTCTAATGGCATCCGTAGGGGCCCCTAAAAGGCTGAGGGCTTCCTGTTTTGTTTGTGTTGCCTCTTGGAGAGGAGGTAAAGAGCGTAGCTAGCTAGCTAGCAAGCTAGCTAGCTAGACTCTCCCTCGCCTGTTGACTCTGAGGCGCAAACAAGCTACCGAACCTTCAACGCACAAACAATGTGGGGCTCCAACGCTAGCGAGCTAGCTGGCTAGCTAGCTGGCTGGTTGGCTAGCTAGCGAGACAGCCATCGGTTAGCTAGCTGGCTAGCTAACTAGCTACCTAGCTAGCTGCTGGAGTGAAGCCACCCCAAATGCCTCCCCGGCAGGTGGCTCCGTAGCTAGCTACGGAAGAGAGACAGCTACATAGCCAGCTACCTAGCTAGACAGCTAGCTAGCTAGCTAGATAGCTAGCTAGCCAGTCCCTCTCCTAACTCTATAGATTGCGCAAGCAGCAGCAACAAACTCTTCCATTTGCCGCTGTGATACCTGCATTGGCTGTTGTTGCTGTTGCTGCTGCTGCTCCAAAGCAGAAGAAGATGCGCTGCGATGTACTCGCAGAGCTGCGGCAACTGCTGCTGCTGCTGCGGGCTCCTGCTGCTGCCGTCTCCTCCTACCTACGCACGCTGCCGAAATGTAAATGAAGTTGCCGCTGCTGCTGTTGTTGCTGCTGCTGCACCTGTGCACACTGTTAGCTCGTTTTAGAGGCCCGGTGTCTTTGCAGCAGCTGCAGCAGCAGCTGCTGCATCAGGCGCAGCAGCAACAGCAGCAGCTGCTGCAGAAGGGGCAGCACGCGGCGACTGACCAAGACGTTACAGCAGGAAGCCCCTAAAAGAAGCTCTCTGCTGCTGCTGTTTTTGCTTCTCTCTCTGCAGCTCCAGCAGCAGAGCCTGCAGCAGCAGCAGCAACAATATTCTCATTCAACTCGGTGCCGCACTCCCGCTAGCATCAGCAGCAGCACGAGCACCAGCAACAGCAAAATCAGCAGCAGCAACAGCAAGAGCACCAGCAGCTGCAACAGCAAGAGCACCAGCAGCAGCAACAGCAAGAGCACCAGCAGCAGCAAAATCGGCAGCAGCAACAGCAAGAGCAGGAGCAACAAAATCAGCAACAGCAGCAGCGAGAGCAGCAGCAGCAAGAGCAGCAGCAGCAAGAGCAGCAGCAGCAGACCCGTATTTGTCTGTCCTTTGGCGCCAGCTCAGCAGCAGCACGTGCTGCACGAAGAGAGGCATCAGTGTCTCCTAGCTGCTGCAGCGCCAGGGCCTTGCGGTGATAAGCAATTTGCTGCGACCTTGCAGCATCAAACACCTGCTGCTGCTGCTGCTGTTGCTGCTGCTGTTGCTGCTGTTGCTGCTGCTCCCTCCGGGAGGCAGTCGCCGCTCTGTCTTCTTGCTGCGACCCCCCACTGCTATCAGTGCAGCAGCTGCTGCTGCTGCTATTGTCATTGCTGCTACTACTACTGCTGCTGCTGCTGTTGCTGCTGCTGCTGCAGTTGTGTGCTGCGCAGGCCAAGGCTACGTCGCAGTGCTGAGATGCCTCTCTATACTGCTTCAGCTTGAGGCAGCAAGATGCTGCATTTAGAGACAAACTGCAGCAAAGAGACTGTGCAGCAGCAATCGATAACTCAGATTTGCTGCCAAGGGGCCCCTGGCCAGACAGGGAAGAAGCTCCGCCTTGCAGCAGCAAACGCTGCTGCTGCTGTTGCTGCTGCTGCTGCAGCAGCACGGGGTAAGCAGCAGAGATCCGGCAAATATCTAAACCCTTCTTGTACTCACATAGGGCAGCACCAATCCACCCGTGCTGCAGCAGCAGCAGCAGCAACAACAGCAAACACAACAATTTAATTTAGCTCCACAGCCGGTACCAGCAGCAGCAGCAGCAGCAGTTGCTGCTATTAGTGCCGATACAACAGCAAACGAACAGCAGCAAACAATCTGCTTTGTCCTGCTTGCTGCTGCGTGCATCCTAGCCTTCCCATTGCTGCTGCTGCTGCTGCTATTGCTACTGCTGCTATTGCTGCTGTTGCTAATGCTGGTGCTGCTGCTATAACTGTTGCTGCTGCTGCTATTGCTGCTACTTACCTTGAACAGACGATTTCCTTCTGCCCTAAGAGCAGCACCTAACGCTGACTTCTCTTCTCCGCTCAGAGCCCAGTAGTCAGCACGCTGCAGCAGCAGCAGCAGCAAAAGCAGCAGCAAAAGCAGTGATAACAGCAGCAATAACAGCAGCGGCAACAAAGCATACACATGCACACAGCAAGACGTGTGGATATAATTGCTGCAGCAGCTGTCAATGCTACTGCGGCCGCTGCTGCTGCTGCTGCTGCTACTGGTCTGGCTGCTATAGTGGTGCAGCAGCAGCAGCTGCTGCTGCTGCTGTTGCTGCTGCCGCACCCTTCCTATGATGCCTGCAAAGTAAACGGTGCCTCGACAGGTTAGCTGCAGCCCTTCGGGCCCAAACACAATCTGCTCGTTGCCCTTCTGCTGCTGCTGCTGCTGCTGCTGCTGCTTCTCCAGCAGCAGCAGCAGCGTTTGCTTCAGCCTGTCTGGCGTGTAGCAAAGGAGACGGGGGAGGACGGCAGCAGATTCGCTTCTCTCTATACACCTCAGGGCCTTTATCACTTCTCTAAGCTCTGCTGCTGCTGCAGCAGCAAACCCAGACTGAGGCAGCTGCTGCTGATCGTGCTGCTGCTGATCGTGCTGCTGCTGC